ATGTATCATTCATGTATTTTATATGTATAATCATATATGGTCATTACATAATTTATGTATAATGACTAGAAAAAATAAATAGTGAATTCGACCGGCTATCTATGTAAGAATCCCCAATATATTCTGGTGGAATGCATTGAGTCAAGTATTTTGGGCGGACTTGCCAAACACGTGGGCCGACGATAAGATAGTATGGTCCATAATGCCAAGAGCCTTTCAATTCTTGGTCCGTAACCATATTGAAGAATTAATCCAAATAACCGTCAATTCAATTGCTTATCTATATTATTATAAAAGCATGAATACAATGTCGGTTTACAAAAATAACCTTATAATATTAAGCATAATAACTCATCATAAAAGGACATAACCGAAATTCTAGATATTAGCCTTATAATCCTATTAGTTTAGGACGTAATACTACACGTTAGAAATCCTACATGATTACTTTCAGTACAATCCTAATACTTTTAGCCATGTAGTGTTTTACTCATTTTCTTATTAAATTCAAACTACGAATATGAACTCTATAATACATTCCCTGTTGAACTTGAATTTGAGCATAAAATATGAACTACGAATACTAAATCTAATTTCCTATTGCACTAGAACTCTAAAATATTCCATATTTTGGTACCAGTATTTGAGTGAAAATAATTTTCTTCATTCAATGGGATTTAGACTTAAAGGTCAATTGTAAACTCTTTAATGAAATCAATTTTAAAGTGTGGTGTTGCAGAAAGAAATTAACAAAACTCGGTAACTTCTCAAAGTTATTATATATTTCTTTGAAATCGAAATGAAACCTAAAAATATGTGCTTTTTACTCTTTCTTTATCATCTTTTTGGGTATGCAATTGATAGGTTTTCATGAGTTTTAATTTTGTTGTCGAACTTTAGTTCATTTATTTGCCAAAACATTTTCAGTGTTGTTGTCAAATCTTTTATCATGCATGAATACAATGTTGATAGTTGATAATCCTCCAAAATGAAAATCGTATCTTCAAATAAGATAATTTCCTGTAGATTAAAATTATAACGTTAAATTCCTAATGTGAATTTGTATGGAATACTAATACCAATCATGGTGTCCTACTCATTATTGGAATTCTAAAGTGCACTGTATATACTAAAGTTACATAGATAAGAATATTTGGTGCAATCCTTTATCATTATCTATATTCTTATCTATATATGTATCTGTACATAATGTTAGTTTGCAAAAATAACCTTTTAATATTAAGCATACTAACTCACCATAAAGGGACATAACCGGAATTCTAGACACTAGCCTTGTAATCCTATTAGTTTTAGGACATAATATACGCTATGAATCCTACATGATTATCTTTAGGAATCCTATTAATATAATCCTAATACGTTTAATCATGTAATCATATTACTTTTAGGATATACTTCTTAAAAAAATCATATTACTAATTTAATTTTAAAACATATTATATTGTTCAATTACTAATTTAATTTGACAATGTATTAGCCTCTCTACTCCTTTGGAGTAGGGGTAAGGTCTTACACACTACCCTCCCCAGACCCCACTTGTGGGATTTCATTGGGTCGTTGTTGTTGTCATGTATTATATGTCCAAATTCATTTTTTTAAAAGGAGAACTTATATTATTATAAAAGCTCGAATACAATATTTATAGATCAAAATAGCCCTAAAATATTAAACAGAAGAACTCATAGGGAAAGAACATAACTTTAATAACTTTTTTTGGACTATAATAGCTACTATGTTAATTTTTAATATTTGAAATCATAAAATTAATAAAAGTTTGTCTATTTAATTCTTATTAAAAATATATAGGAATGTTTGATAAAATCAATTTCATAAGAATCCTCTGTATTGGTAATACATTACTACTTGATAATATCCAATACTAAGAAAAAATAAAAGTAATGTTAAACGAACTACATAACGCGTTGAAATTGAGAGAAAAAATCCTCATGATAATATTTTTATATTTGATTTTGAACTGCTTTCCTACTCAAATAATATTTTGTTATTATTTATTTCTCATGTAATATTGAAAAATATACCTAATTATTAAAGAACAACTAAGAATTTTTTTAAGAATATAAATATGTGAGAAAGAGAAAGAAAAAGGTTGATAAGATTCAATACCACTAATGATTTTGCAAACACAAATATCTAAAAGTGGAATGTCATATCGATCTTTTTACTCTTTTAAAATAAAATTTATGGGGGATAAAATTATAATTACGATTAAATATTCAAAACAAGAGATAAACTAACATTAAAAATATGAATTAATAGAAAATAAATTATTTTTATGTTAAAACCAAATAATCAAAACTTCAATTAACTATTTAGCAAAGAATGCATTGTAATTAGTTTTTAAATTCATCATATGAGTAAAATTATTTTTCAATAAACAATATCTTAGGGTACATAAATTTATTCCATAAAAAGAGCGTTAGAGATTAAGAAAATTAGATCACAAAAGTAAAAAAAAAAAAAATAACATAGTATTAAAAAGGCCATGCAAGTGATTGAGAAAGCACAATCAAAGTTATATCCTAAACAAAAATAAGCTTTCAAGACTATATTATAAAGAGTCGATCTGGTATAGCGGAATTATCCTTTGTGGACACCCCCGCCAGAATCGAAATAATTTTCCTATGTCATGCATTACTTGCAAATGTCAGACCAAGATGCATGATATTGTTAGCTATAACAAGTGATATACCATCAATGATTTTATTATGAGGTCGTACAACTCACTTTAGATTTGATATACCTCTTCAAACAACTGAAATAAACCATCACAAATATATCAAAGCAGAGCAATAGTGCTAAATTTATAAGGAAGCCAAATTGATAATATGGGATGAAGGGCTTATGGCTAAACGTCAAAGAATTGAAACAATTGCCTAGAGTTTTAGAGATATATTGGATATCAATGAACCATTTAGTGGAAAAGTAATGGTTTAGGAAGTGATTTCTGTCATGTACTATTAGTAGTTCCGTAATTGACGAAAGCAAAGACTACAAAAGCTAGGTTGTCAAAATTATACTTGTGGACTCAAATGAAAAAGATTCAAAACAAAAATTATAAAAGTAAGAACAGATCCAACATTCAGTGACTTCTTACTTCCAGTCGAAAATGACGAAGAGCACCCAATAAAAAATAGTTTAGTTGTTCCAGAACACTTTGTTATCAATCCAAATGGGTAATAGTAGTGCATTTAATAAGAAAAATATTTTCATCAGTAGATTAAAACGTAATTTGTGCAAATTAAATGATAGAAATTAAAGAGTTATCTTAGCTAGCAGAAATGAATATATTGATCAATAAATAAAAGGTTGATTGCTAAGTTTTATGGTAAAAATAAAATATTTTTTAGTTTTGACTCAACCGAAGATGATCGATACCAACAATTACTACCAAGAAGAATACTTAAATACTTTAATATCAAATGACTTTCTACTATCCAGGTTTGTTGTCAAGTTTATTATTTCTTACGTATGTTAGTGTCACCATATATATAATAGACTAAGTTAAAATTGACCTTCGATTGGATATAGATTGATTTTAAAGAAAAATATGCCCGTCATGCTACTGAAAACTTAGATCCACCGAATAGCTTATGTAATAGTACACAGTTAGTATATTGAAGTTTCGACAATAAAATCACATGCAGAAATTATGATATTGGTCAACGTGCTTCTACGTACGTTTTTATCCTTGAAATCAACTTTCGTCTTCCAAAACTAAAGAATATCCTTTAAAATTTGTGTAAAAATAAATTTTAATATGCTTATATTTTGTAATTATAATGAAGCACAAGGACAAACATCCTAAATCTTGAACTATGTTTACAACAATATGTTTTCTTGCACGAATAACTATATGTTGCACTTTCAAGAGGGATATTAATATCGACAACGAGAGTTCTGGTTATGGCAGAATAACCAAATCATTAGAAGGAAACATGCACAAAAAAACATCGTCTACAAAGAAGTGTTCGGTAAGATATTATCATATTAGATACCTTTAAACTACAATACATAATTATCTAATTAATATGACTAAATTAATCATTTTTTTAAGTTCTAATGATGTCCTTTCATTTTGAATTCACGTATTATGCTAATGTAATAATATTTTTCGACATTTAGATAATTGTTGTATTATTATACATAAAATTTCTCTCATTAATTAATTATTTTTTCCTTCATACAAATAAATATTTAATCATCATGTGTCATTATTAACGTGCAACGCACGTTTATAGATACTAGTATTAAAAATAACCGGTAGAGATATAATATATATATTATTCATGTATTGTACATTTGTATGTGTATAACTAGAAAAAATAAACAATAATAGGACCCGCTAACATATTCTCTACTTCATTTCCAGCATTTTAGTTGAGCGCCTATGATTGAATTTTTGAATGCTCCTTGAGATTGAGTACTATTCTGAATTATGACGTACAAAAAAAATTTAAAAAAATAATTAATAGAAGAAAAAGTTGAATACTCTTTTTGCTTTCAAAAAGGATAAAAATAGTGAAGAGTTGCAAATCATAGTATTATCTTTCTCTTTCTTGTTTCTCTCCCCAACCAACCCATATTATTTATAGTAAAACCACTTTAATTGATAATCAAGAACATATCTTATACTAACATTATGAACCTTTAATTCAGTTTTGGAGGGTCTCATATCTTTAAACTTAACCCAAAAAAACATTAAGACCTTTTAATAATTACGTACTCTATTGCTTAAAAGTGGGACGCAACGAAACGCCGTCGTTGGTCGTCGGCCTTGACCAAGTATAGAAGAAGCTGGATATGATCCTATGCATCTGCAGCATACTGTATTAGATTGTTGCATAGTCCAGCACAGTTAGATTGCTACAATCTGGTAAAATGGGACCACAGAGCCTATCCTAACGGTACACAGTTTTTTTTCTTGACGACACATCCAAACAAATCTCTTAGAAGTCTCTCTCTCTCTCTCTCTCTCTCTCTCTCTATTTAAATCAAAGTCTGCTAATCATTTTCCTCTTTGGATTGCTGCGACGATTACCGTGGAATGTATTCCGAGACTCTCTCTTTAATCTGCTTTGTTTAAAGAGGTAATAATCTCATAATTTTAGCTTCTCAATTTCAATTGTTTGATTTAGCTCTACCTTCATTTCTCATGATCATTATCTCATTTATTATAGATCAGAAGAAGCAAATTTTTTTAATTTAGGGCTATATTCGAATTAAGGGTTCAGATGGAGCCGAATAACTAGTATAGGAATCATACAACGGACTGAGGATTTTGGAATTGAGGCATAGTAGTTATTGTTCTTGTCGTATTCTTTAATTTAGGGTTTCTGCTTTTCTATTTTCTATTTTTTTTTCCTTCGTTGGTTTTGTTTTTCCTCCTTTTATCCAGAAATTACACTTGTTTGTTTGTTCCAGCCTTAAAAATACGAAAAATTGAACATTTTGGAGTGGGTTGTTGGAGTTACTTTGTTTTACTCGTTTCTGGATTCGAATACTTTGTCCTTTTCCTTTTACTGCTTTCTAGGGCGTTGCTTTTTTGGGTAATTTCTTAAAATCTGTTTTATACAGAAAGGCGCATCCTTTTCTATTCAAGTATTTTCTGGGATGTTGATCTGTGTCACTGAGCGCTGATAACCAGTCTGGAGCTAAGTCTGTTGAAAAATTACACTGTACAAATTGGGTAAAAACAAACTTTTGTTATATATATGTGTGCGTGCGTGTGAGTGAGAAAGAGAATTGTTGAATACCCTTGATAGTTTGGTGTATCACTCTCTGTGCAAGTTTGCATTTTTGTAATCCCTCGTTAAACTTTCTGGCTCTGCCACTGGCGGATAGTAATCTCTAAGCAGCATCTCGTCTCCTTGTTGGTTCCATAAAGCTGACAGCTAGTTGGATTTAGACAAAACCTTACTGTTTTTTGTTTAAAACTTGTACAGGCTGGTTTATGATCTTTATATGACTTCATGTTTTGATACAGATCAATAAGCAAACTGCGAAAGCTGTAGCTTGTACATGTCTTTGTCCCTCCTTCCATCTAACCGAGAGCATATTTATCCTTGCCTCTAGTCTCTTTTATTTCCAAGCATATCTCGTAAGGAAATATAATTGCGAGTTTTGGGTATATTTTCCTATTTACTCATTCGAAATATTTATTGAGTGGGAACCCCGTAATCTTGAATAGTTTGAGATGTTTGGTCATTGTAAAATGGGACCCCAGTAATCCTAAAGTGTTTGAGATGTTTGTGTATAGTAGTGACCTCATCTGTTCTGATTCCAAACATTTCTTTATAGCTTTATCCATACTTTTTATCTTCTCTTTATTCATGATATCGAGTCATCTAAGCATGATTTAGTCTAAATATATACATAGATATTAGGGTACATTCATATATTTAATCTCGATTGTTGCATAAGGAAGCCGGTTTCTTTAACTCAAAATTCTGCGTGCAGATAACTCCATGCTTCTGCAAGTCATTACCTAGGTGAAGGATTATCCGTTCTCTGAAATGCAGTTTGCTTGCATCAACTGGGATACCTGAGAGCCAATTCCTTGGATTACCAAAAAGTTTATAAAGAGCAAAAAGCAGATTTTCTTCCCTGCTGTTTTTCTTGTTGTGTACACCTTTGTATTAAACGGTATAAAGAGCTAAAGAGCAGAGTTTCTCTGCCTAGCTGGTTTTATTGCTGCTCACAAAATGGCATGTGAAGAAATTCTGAAGGCTGTTTTCCCGTTTCTGGAGGGTACTGACCTGGCTACATGTATGATAGTGTGCAAACAGTGGCGAGATATTGCACGAGATGATTACTTCTGGAAATGTCTTTGTTCTAAAAAATGGCCATCAATTTGCAAACGGCCATCTCCTCCTACTGTAACCTACTATAAACTGTTTCAAAACTTTCATAAACGGCAATACCGCAGGGCTGTTCTCCCTCCGAGACTTTCCTTCAATGACTTGGAGTTCTACATTGATATTTGGACTGAAGAGAAGATAATATTTTCAGATGTGGTACCAGGGCCTGTTCTTCAGAAGGGAATTTGGATCCCGCCTCCTGGAATCTGCGACGTGCTTAGGTTCCACTTGGAAGGGCCTGAATACAAGATGACTCTACCTGTGGAACCAAGATTTACGATTCCTTTGTGCCAGACGGTCAGTGTCTCTGTGCTTGTTGGACGCAAAGATGCCAATAAAGTTGCATGCATTATAAAGAAATCCCTTTTTGATTATATTGATCGAACAGCATATCGGGCTTTAGCTTTTGATTATCTTGACTTCTCCTCTCCTATTTGCTTGTTTGTATCGGGTGTTCGGGCATGGATATCTTTGCTTTTCATGGACCATAATAATGAAGGGGCACTTGATGTTTTTGGGATTGAGATGGATTTCTGTGATGCTGCCAATTCTGAAGATGAGGTCCTGTGGCTTCTAGACATGCTGGACTGGAAATAAGCTCAGTGGTTTTTAGATCTGTCAGGTGGCTAATCGCCTAGTTGGAATATGTCCACTTTGGCTAAAACTTGTACATAGTTATGCTGCTAGAGTGGATTGCCATTTAAGTTGTGCACAATGCCGAAATCCAATTTAAAGTCATTTTCTTCTGAAGTACAGTCTTACTTTTATCGTTTGAATAATTCAGAATAAGATTCTTTAATATCATTTCATGTATCTTGTAGCAAAGCCAGTTCCTTGTCGCTCTTATCTAATGCTGATTTTTTTAATGTATGAGTTATGACTGTCATAGTTGATTTAGAGTTGCCTAGGGATGATAGAGCTTTCGGAGTTGACTATAATAGTTAATTGTTAATTGTGTCTAATGACACTATCTGGCCACTCTTTATAGGTTTGTGCGCCAGGTGGTATCTCTCCCCCCCCCCCACTCCCCCACCCCCCTACCCCCAAGACCAACAACAACAATGATCCAGTGGAATCCCACAAGTGAGGTCTGAAGAGGGTAGTGCGCAAACCTTACCCCTAATTCGGTGGAGTAGAGAGGCTGTTTTCGATTACCTCCGCCTAGACCGTCTGCTGTAAATTATACTGTTTGGCTAATTACTGACAATTTAACATTCAATTTTGTCCACGATTCTACAATATGGCGGAATAGAGCAATAGTGTGTTGGTGTGGACTGGCTCAGATATGGTAATTAATTGTAAACGGAAGAAGTTGTTTAAGACTACTGTTTTTCCTTCATACCGTGAACTTTGGCAGTGCAACGGCTTTTAAAGGAAGGTTACAGTCAGGTAAAAAGGAATTTCTTTCAAAACTTTGAATAGGTACACATAGAAGAGCTATGTTGTGAAAATAACTACTGTCTTACTGTATATGCACCAAGTGAAAAAGAAAAGCATAAATTATCTTACTTCTATTCATACCGTAACAAGAAACTACAAAGCAATGAGTATTTTGAAACCAAAGAGACTTACTACCAAAGATCAAACATATTTTGGTTAAATAAACCTCCAGCTGAATGGGGATTTTCTTTTTGCGTGAAGAAGTTGAAGAATAGAAGCTTTATCTTGGGTTATCGTTGTTTCTACTAAGCCATAATAATGTCAATGATCATAGTACACACTTCCACTGGAGTAAAATTGTAATTGCCAAGATTTCTAATAGCACCTTGGTAATCAATGAAGTCAATGAGAAACATAACCAAATAATCCTGCTAACAGCTACTATTTTACAGCTGCGGATGAACAAAAATACGCATCATTATGTTACATAGGTTTGGCAATAAGCCATTTGTAAATTAGAATGCTCAGAACGTTCAGTACAGGCTTCGATGATGACTTGAGCTCTCGGGAACAATTGGCTCGCCAGTGAAGGGGTCAAATTTGTATGGCTCACCAGTGAAGGGATCAAACCTGATCCGTGGTCGAGTATGTTGATGATCAGCAGTCGCGGTAATGTGTGAATTAAGTCCAATTCTGTCATTAGTAGGAGAAGGGCTCCATGTTGCCTGCAAATTGGGACTTGCTTCATCCATCCTTGATACCCGACCAGATGGAAGGAGTGTTGCCTGCAAAATCGGACTTGCTTCATCCATCCTTCTTGTCGTCACCCCACCAGATAGGAGCGACTGCAAAGTGGAACCTGCTTCCTCCATCCTCGTTGTCACCCGACTAGACAGAAGTGAAGTCGCCTGCAAATGGGAACTTGCTTCCTCCATCCTCTTTGTTGTCATCCTACCAGACAGATGGGGATCCAAATACGCTGAATAGCGAGACGTGTAAACATCAGCCCTGCAAGAAACCAGCAGCAAGGTGATCCTGTTACCTCAATAGTTTCCAACCTTCACTAATAGTCTTCACTAAAGAGCCAGCAAAGCAAATTATCACTCCAAGACTACTTTTACTTGCTCAACATCATTCTGTTCTTAGCACCAGACATGCAGCATAGTTCTAATGATCTAGCATTGAAATGCAAGCTAACCTAGGCATGGGCAAGGGTACTCGTGAGGCATATGAATCTAGATCTGGCAAACGAACTCTTGTAGAGAACCTGTCAGGTTCTGGCACCCTCAAGCCAGCATCTTCTATCCTTGACCTACTATCGAATTGTTTCAGTCCCAGTTTTTCAACCTGCTGCTATATCCAGAAAAGAATTTGTTTGATAATGAGCGCAAAAGAGTATACAAACAAAGATAAAAAATTTGATGCTTATCTGCTCTCCACAGAACATACCTTAGAAATTAACGAAGCTAAATATCCTCCCTTGTTCTGCATATCAGCTCCAGACAACATGAACTATACATAAAAGGCATTGGAAAATAGAAGCATGAGGATCGATCTTTAATTGTTTTTGAATATACTGAAATTCTCACTAGAAAGATTCACAAAAGGTATAAATATTTCAGACCTGGTCAAGAATAGATATGGCAGCTGACTGGGGCAACATCTTAAGACTGGTTAAACTTTCAACATCTATCTGAAAATAAAAACTCATTCAAAACCTTTAGCTGGTTCTAGGTAATACACAACAATCAACATCCTAAATTGGTAGTCCTTACAGCAACTATTATTAGGTAACAGATGTTGCATAAAGCAGGTGAAAAGCTTATGTTTTGCAAAATAATATATCGTGCAGATTTCATAATGCGACGTGCGAACCAGGTAAAAACTCTAGCTGTTGTTTGACCACACAAGCATACACGTAAATCATGTAGTTGTATAATTTACATTATGTCTCACTTTTTCCACCTTCCTGCAGAGATAAAATGGCCCATCCCGGATCCTAAGAAATAAGAACAAAATCTTCCATACCGTAATTAGTACACAACTCGCCCGCTACAGCAATGAACTAATACAGACAAAATTACAGACTATTTCATCAAAAACATGGAAAATTCCATGGATAACTACACTAGTATTAGACATTTACATTAGAACAAAGAATTAATAGGTACCATCAAAAACATGGAAAGATTCCATGGATAAATACACTAATATTAGACATTTACATTAGTAAAAAAGAATTGACAACTATAGATACCACATGACAGAAAACAAAGAATTTATATCTTGCCACTACCCACCACTTCTAGGTTGTGCATCGTGAGTTTGCTTTTGGAAGGAGCCAACACCGCTCCTCAAGAATCCATATAAAGGAAGAGGCAAGAAAGAAGATCTCAAATTTTATATCAGCTTGTTTGGCAGTTCAATAAACAAACACTAGAAACCAATACAAACCAACTACATAATGCAATCAACACCGAACATGTCTTTCTTTGTTAATACATACTCACAGGAAAAGAAGAAATTTGCATATTTTGCTTATGATGATAACAGAATTAAAAAGAACACTACTTGGGAAGAATTGACATGAAAACCTTCTTGACAAATTAGGAAGACTTAATACACAAACAGAATTACTACTTCGGATAGTAGTGTCCGTCCGTTAACTTACATCATATCTAGTAGCGATACCAAGCCGCAAGATCCGAACTAAACGCTCCTTGACAACCACAGGTAATGCAACTACAGCAGCTTCGTAAGGATCCGAATAATCCATCTCCTGAGTGAAGAAATATAATCAAACCAAAGAAGACAGATTTGGAGTTTTACAACAAATATCAACCATTCTAATCAAAATGAGCTTAACAGTTCAATCATGTAGCTCACAATAACTTAACATATAGACTTCCTTCAAGCATTTATGCTCATAAGACCGAATAGCTTCCTATTATATTATCTTGATATGGTAAACCCCATCCTACCAAACCTCCATGGTTGAAGTGGAGGAGAGCTACCAGAATATTAGGTGCTACCCCATCTTATAAAACGTTTATTAGACCAGCATTGTTATATGGGAGTGAACTTCTGTCCTCTAAGGTCCCATATCCACTCCACAATATAAGTGTTGCAGAAATTCTAATGTTAAGATAGATGTGCCACCATACAAGATTAGAGAAAATCAGAATGTCCACATACGACATAAGGTTCAAGTAGAATAAAATGAGAGATCTCTTAAGACAATTTGGTCATGTCCTACATAGACCTCCAAATGAAAAGAAACGAGGTAGACCTAAAATCACATAGAATGAAGTTATCTCAAAGACCTACAGTCGCATGAATCCATGCAGATTTAGAGAACCTCTAGTACCATGGAACTCCACGTTATAGAATATCCAATGAAATGGGTTCAAGTAGAGTGCAATAGTAATGTAAATTCATATGCCGACCTCAACTAGCTTGAGATTGAGGCATAATTGTAGTCGTTATCTCTTGCATATTTGAAAAGAAGAAATGACGGCATACTACAAACATAGAAGCATCAAGTTGGCAAATAAGCTTTGCCCAATGCAAGCGCAGGAAATTCCTATGAGAACTGCTTTTACTTTAGTTTCAAGGAAATTTTACCGGCAAACATTTGCAAGATTGAAAAGCCAGCATTTTAAATATTTTAAAGGAGAAGATCGTCAGAATTAAAAAAAAAAATTAACATCTCATTTGCATCACCAGTTGAGCAGTTGATTTAGGAGCCCTAATCATCTCAACATTTGGATCATCCTTCAAAAGCTTGGAATGACTCTCAATGGTACTGGACATGTTTGGATCCTCACGACCTCGTTTCCTGTTCTTGTCCATTGGCCTAGCAACTTCGACCTGTTAGCAAATCATAATTAATCACCAATATAGGCTTACATATCTGTAAACTATCGTTGAAGATATCAGCTTGGACAACTTATGAAAACTAGAAAGGATAAAAATCACCTGAAGCTTGCATGAGGGACCTCCCATTGGCCCTTGTACAGTTTTCTCATTCAACGCCTTAATAGCATTGTCAAGATCCTATCCTCACAGCATAGAGAGGAAATGGGATTGGGGAAAGAAACAAAAGAAAGACAATGTCAGCTGTACTAGAAGCGAAATTCCAATCTTAAGGGTCACTTTTTATTTGGATTTCTAATTTTTCTTCATAAGTCAGATTTTCCTGCAGAACTGATAGCCAATGCTACTACACAGATGATATCCTTTCAGTTTATTGTTCTGCTTCTAGACAAGAAGAATAGTAATTGTCTATTATTCATCACGAGCAGAAACAGTAGCTTTAATGTTGCTAAATGAGACTTGTAAGCATATTAGTGAAAGAAGACTAATGACAAACTGCACTTCAAGAAATTTTCGCAGTGGCGCTATTGGCATATTGCCAAACTTTCTGTTACTCTCTCGAACATCCTTCCAGATACAGAAAATTTCCCTTTGAGGATATCATTTCCCTTCTC